TTCCCAGCCGCCACCTCTGTCAGTTCCGTTGGGGTCTCTTCCGATGAGTTGTGTCGCATGATTCGTAAGATGCTTCAAGACATGGCGTCTCCTGATCTGGCTCCTACGTTTTCTACGGGTACTGCTTCTCAGTCTTCTCCTTCTTGGCATATTGATTTTGCTGTTGTGAATCACATGACTAGTGCTCGTTCTACTTTTCTTTTTGTTAAACCTAGTACTGGCATTACATTGCAAGTGGCGGATAGCTCGCCTCTTGCTGTGACTAGAGTTGGTACAGTCTGTGATAAACAATTGGTCTTACCGAATAGGTTTTATGTGCCAAGATTAGTGCCCAGTCTGATTTCTGTGGGTCAATTGGCGGATGAGGGATGTCGCATTATATTTGATGCTCGTGGTTGCACTGTGTAGGAGGTGCGGACGGGCAGGGAGATAGGGAGAGGGAGTAAACGAGGATGGGTGTATATGCACGATTGTCTCACCAGTCGGCAGGAGGATCGTGGGGGCACTTCATCTCAGACGGAGCTCACTGACCGGCGTGGAGATAACACGAGTGTGCTGCATTTCTCGTCTATTAGTTCTTTTCATTTAGCTCTTCCTTTTCGTAACACTGGTTATTCAGTTCAGTTGTCGGATTTGGATTTATGGCATTTTTGGTTGGGTCACACTCACAAATCAAGATTTTTTTAGATGTTTAAGAATAAATGGTTGTCGGGTACTTTTCGATCTATTCCTCCTCAAGATTGTATACATTGTGTGCAAGCTAAGATTACTCAGTGCTCGTTTGGTAATAGTTTGATAGTCTATTCTGAGCTGTTTGACCTGGTGCACACTAATCTCTAGGGCCCTTCTCCTGTGACATCTCGCCTTGGATTCAGGTACTTCGCGTTGTTTGTGGATCATGTCACCAGGTTCACATGGGTCTATTTTTTACGTCAGAAATCCGAGGTTCTTGATGTGGCTCATGAGTTTACCCAGATGGTGTTAACCCAATTCAACAAGAGGATCAAAATCCTCCGGTCGGACCCGGTGGCGAGTTTGTCTCTCATCCTCTGCAGGACATGTTTCGTCAGCAGGAGACGCTTCCCCAACAGTCTTGTCCCGGGGTATCGCAGCAGATTGGTAGGTGGAACGAAAACATCAACATGTTCTTGAGGTTACACGAGCCTTGTTGTTTCATTCTCAGGTCTTGCCTCGATTCTGGGTGGAGGCTATTCACACTGTGGCTTACTTGATTAATAGGCAGATCACTCAAGTTCTTAATCAACGGAGTCCGTGTCAGGTCCTTTTTCTCGATTTCTCGAGTATGCATGGCTACGTGTCTTTGGCTGCATTTGTTATGCTCTTCTCCCTCGTGGGGAGCGCCAAAAGCTCTCTTCTAAGGCTGCTAAATGTGTGTTTGTGGGGTACACTGACAAACACAAGGGTTATGCATGTTATGATGTTGAAAATCAGTGCCTTCGTATATCTTGTCACGTTTCTTTCTTCGAGAACACACTTTATTATGTGGCGCAGGATCCTTCAGGTGATGCTCAGTGGTATTTTTTGGAACCTCTTCCCACTTTTCCTCCAGCTCCTGATCTAGATGATAATGATCCTCCCTCGCCGTCGTCCTCTGCATCTTCTGGAAGTTCTTCTGACTCCTCCTCCGGCTCTTCACGTTCTTTAGGAAGCTCCCACCCCTCGTCCGACTCCTCTGTAGGGATCGCCTCTGATGCCTCTCTTCTCCGTCGCTCCACTTGAGCTACCCGGGGTCAACCACCGGCTCGGCACTCTGACTTTCTTGCATATTCCATCACTACTCCTGTGTTCGTACCGGCCACCTATAAACAAGCACGCGGCCTTGACCCATGGGAACGAGCTATGGATGTTGAAACAGATGCTCTAGAAGCTCATCATACTTGGGATTTAGTTCCTCGACCACCGGGTATTACGGTCATCGGTAGTAAGACTATGAGGGTGGTTGCCTAGGGGTTTAAGCAGCAATATGGTATAGACTATGAGGAGACGTTTTCTCTAGTGGGCAAGATGCAGACTGTTGTAGTCTCATTGCAGTGGTTGCCATGAAGAACTAGCCCCTAATTCAGTTGGATGTCAAGAATGCTTTTCTTCATGGGGATTTGAAGGAGACTGTCTATATGGAGCATCCTACGGGTTATAAGAAAGGTGATAAATCGATGGTTTGTCTACTTCGACGTTCTTTGTACGGCTTAAAGCAATCCCCCTCGGGCTTGGTTTGAGAAGTTTCAGGCTACTATTCTACGAGTTTGGTTTGTTCTGAGTGATAATGATCCCTCTCTCTTCCTCCGGCATACAGCTCACGGTCTTACCCTCCTGTTACTCTACGTCGATGATATGGTTATCAGTGGGGATGATCAGGATGGTATTCGGTTTCTGACCTCTACATTACAAGAGGCTTTCAATCTTAAGGAGCTAGGCTCTCTGTCATACTTCCTAGGCCTTGAGTTTGATCGTTCTCCTGCAGGGATCCTCGTTTGTCAAAGGAAATACATTGCTGACTTACTGGAAGAAGCCCAGATGGATGAGTGTGATCAGTGTGGCACTCCCATGGAACATAACTTAAAGCACACAGTCTGCTGGAGATTTATTGGCTAATGGCACTACCTATCAGAGTATTGTTGGGAGTCTTATTTACCTTACTCACACTCGTCCGGATATTGCCAATGATGTGCAGGTAGTTAGTCAGTATATGTCGGCTCCTCGTACTCGACATTGGACTGATGTTTAGAGGATTCTTCGGTACCTCAAAGGCACCCTCCGTATGCTGATGCTGACTATGCAGGCTATTTGGACACTCGTAGCTCCACGTCTGGCTGGGGTGTGCAGTTTGGTAATTCCTTTGTTTCATGGTAGTGTAAGAAGCAGGATCGGGTCGCCAAATCTTCTATCGAGGCTGAGTATAGATTGATGAGTGAGGTGGCATCCGAACTCGTCTAGCTGTGGCGCTTATTTACTGATTTTGGGCTTGATTGTCGTGTGCCCATACGACTGTATGTAGACAATACTAGTGTGATACGGATTGCAACGAATCCGGTGTTGCATGATCGTACTAAGCATATTGAAGTTCATGTGCACTACATCCGTAGTTGGTGAATGATGGTGTTCTTGAGTTGGTTTACATCACCTCTGAAGATTAGACTGCTGATTTGTTAACTAAGGCGTTGGCTTCTGTTGATTCATTGGTTTCTGACACACAAATTGATGTTGCTTCAGCACCATCAATTTGAGGGAGGGTGTTAGAAGTTAAAGGTTTAAGTACCTTTATGTAATTTGCCATGTACATAATAGGGTTTAGTGCAGCCGCCTATATTAGTAGATTTGCAGCCGAGTTTGCGTGTACGTTGTATTCTGAAGAACACATGTAATAAGAGATCTCTCGCGTTGTGCCGTGGACTAGTCTCAACATTCAAACGTTGGGGAAACCACGTAAATCCGGTGTTCTGCATCGATTCTTATTTATGTTCTTATTGCAATTGACAACCACTTGGCGTCACTAGTCACGACTATTGCATAGAGATTGTCCTGAGGTTAGTATTTCTGATGTTCAATTTCGGAGATGTATATGGGTTTCCCCTATACAACACAAGTTGAAGTTTTTTGTCTGGCAAGTTCTATGATGGATTTTATAAGTCATAGAGGCTTTATGTATATGGGAGATTGATTGCGATGCACGATGTCCAGTTTGTTGGGCTGAGTAGGAGACTTTGGAACATTTGTTCTTTGAATGTCATGTTGTTGTCTCCTTGTGGCGGTTGCCTGGGTTGGAGGAAGTCCTTCGTTGGGTTGATACCCGTAATTTGGGGTTGTTCTTTAGGCTGGTAGTTGAGCGGGATGATTCTCTTAAAGCATTTTGCGGGTGGTTGCGTTACTATGGAGGATTTGGAAAGCTCAACATTGGGTCATTCATGACTTGAAGTATGTGATGGAGAAGGAATATTGCGTTAGTATGAGCTTTAGGTTAACGAATGGCGGAGTGTCCCTTCAGGTTAGGATCGGCGGGTCGACGCTATGGTTAGGTCTTCGCGTGGTGGTGGTGGGTTGCGATTATGGTTGCGAGTCAGGTTGTCTGGTCTGAATGTCATGGTAGCCCTGGGTGTTATTTTCAATGGCGTGGTGGATCCGTTCCTTGATGAGCTGATGACAATAAGGGATGCTTTTTGGTGGTGTGTGCGGCAGGGCTGGACCGAGGTGATTGTTGAAGAGGATGCCAAGGTATTACAATAGTATAGCTTATTGGGTGGTTAGAAAGGTCATTTCTTTGTTTTTTTTATGAGTTATTGATTTTGATTTTCGTAATTGGCTTCGTACCACTATGTGAACAACGTAATTTTGGTGGTCTTGATAATTCCAAAGAGCTGTTGACAAAAACAAAAACATGAGTAATGATTATACACCCTTCCCTCCTACCATTACTATCGAAAGCCCGAATTACTAAAGAGTAAAGAGTGAGAAATAAACAAATAATAATTCTAGGCGTACTAAGTAGATGTTAGTGGTTCCACCAGAGTGAAATGGCCCAATGCCAGTTTGCAATGGAGAGAGAGACCGACGGAAGCAAGTAATTAGAGGCAGGCAGGTAGGTAGATTTAGTTAGTTAGGACTTAGGATCATAATAAAAAGGGCTTAATTGCAAGTTTGGTCACTCGAATTGCTATAAAATTTCACGTTTGCCACTCAAATTAATTTATTCCATTTATAGTCACTCGAATTAGTTGAACAGTTCAAGTTCGGTCACTCTCCGTTAACCTCCGTTAACTTTGACTGACGTGGCGGTCAACTCTGACAGTTGACCGTTAAATGTGTGACGTGGCAAATAAAAAATAATTAAAAAATAAAAATTAAATTTTTAGAAATTACACATCATTATCACAAAAAATTATAATTATAAAAAAATGAAAGAGTAGCATAAACCGTAAAATCCGCAGATCGGGAACCGATCGCCGCCATTTTCCCGCTCCCGATTCAATTTCGGATCACATTGTTCCGTTTGTGGCTCTCTATTCTTTCACTCCGGCCAGATGCTGATTTTCTCCTTCTCGTAGTTCATGTACAACGCCGGCACCGCAGCCACGAATTAGATCTGGACGAGGACGAGGACGATCGACGGGGTGTGGTAGCTGAGCACGCCCTTCCCCGTCGCCAGCTCCAGCAGCACCGCCAGCCCGAGAAACGCGATCCGCCCGTTCAACCTCTCGCTGTAAGGAGTGAATCCGAATTCCACTTTCAAGCCTGCCGAGACCGGCTCCTTTAGCGGGACCGGAGGCAGGTAGAGGGTCGCTTCGGAGGATTTCGAGGAGGCTCCCTGCTTTCTGGCCTTCCGCATCTCCGCTTTCTTCCCCGTTGATTGGATAAGGTTTCCTTCTCCCTCGTGGTGCTCTATCCATTTCTTTCATACTTGTCATAAAAGAGTAATTTGCCGGAAACAGTTCCTCTTTTTTTCATTTTTTATAATTATAATTTTTTGTGATAATGATGTGTAATTTCTAAAACTTTAATTTTTATTTTTTAATTATTTTTTTTTGCCACGTCACACATTTAACGGTCAACTGTCAGAGTTGACCGCCACGTCAGTCAAAGTTAACGGAGAGTGACCGAACTTGAACTGTTGAACTAATTAGAGTGACTATAAATGAAATAAATTAATTTGAGTGGCAAACGTGAAATTTTATAGCAATTCGAGTGACCAAACTTGCAATTAAGCCTAATAAAAAGTTATGGAAGTGGGGGCGTTGCTTTGCTAATAGGTTATTACTTCTTCGAGGTTCTGCCGTTTCGGTCCCCATCGGTCCCATGTTGGGTTTAACGTGAGTGGTGTGGTGTGGCAGTGAGGATTGCCCCTGAAGACAAGTGTGGGTTGCCGTTTCAACGAAATTATCGTTCCCAGAAGCATTATACTTGCTAAAATGGTGGCAATGGTCGACGTATAGTCATTTTCGGTGAGGGGAATTCTATAGTGGTGAACCAATTGTAGGGGGCGGTTGACTGATGATTGACGTGGATGGAGGATCAATTTTATGGGAAATCCAAGGCTTACCGGTTCACCTTCCGTTGGTTCGTTTTATTTTCATGTTATTTAATTTATCCAAAAGGATTCATTAACAAAAGAAAGGTATTTTTTAGGGTTAATATCTTGGCCCGAACTATATACATACTTTCTACTTTGGCCCGTGGTATTGAAAATTGTTATTCTGGCCTGAACTATGCAGCAAACTTCCTCATTTGGCGTGGAGGCGGATTTGACCGTTAAATTAGACGGTCAAACTTGTTGACCGTTAGTCAATGTCCACCTCACCTGCCACGTCAGCTTTGAGGACATAAATTTTTATTTTTTTATTTCTGAATTTTGTTTTCTTGTCATTTGCTAAAAATGGGCTCTTTTTTGTTCTTTTAATTAATTATTTTGATTTATGATTTTTATTAATCGAAAGAAAAAAAATCAGAAATAAAAAAAATTATGTCCTCAAAGCTGACGTGGCAGGTGAGGTGGACATTGACTAACGATCAACAGGTTTGACCGTCTAATTTGATGGTCAAACCCGCCTCCAGGCCAAATGAGGAAGTTTGCTACATAGTTCAGGCCAGAATAGCAATTTTCAATATCACGGGCCAAAGTAGAAAGTATGTGTATAGTTCAGGCCAAACTAAGGTATTAACCCTATTTTTTTTATAACCCATGAACATCCCCATAGCACACACACGCTAGAGCGATGGCGGAGCGAGACCAAACTTAGGGGTTCACCTGTTTTGAGTCTTTCGGAGCCCTACACGAGGATCTCCATTAAATGCCTCCGCGAATACCATAACGGGACTCAGTGAGAGTCGAAAACGGGATCTGCCACTTCCCGAAACGAGCGACCACTAAGGGTTTCACCGCTAGGCTTTAACAAAGATAGATCTTAATTAATTATTTTTAGTATTTTTAATCAAATTTTCTGTTACTAATTTGACCTTTTCTATGAGCTAATTTCACTAGTAAAACCAAACTTTTCAAAAAGTGTCATTTGTGTAATAAACTATTAAATATGACAAAATCTGGTAGAAACTATTTTTTCGTTAATGTTGACCGGCGTTGACCGTTAGTATTTACCAGAAAATATATTTATCATCTATGTGGTTTGTGCCAGATTTTTCATATTGAATAGTTTTGGACACAAATGATCCTATTAGAATAGTTTGGGCTTTCTAGTGGAATTAGCCCTAATATTTATGGAGATAGAGACAACTACACAGCACACAAGTGGCAATACCGATCGCCATAAGGGGGTTAACATCATCCTAATCCTAACAATGAGTTGTAGTTTACACAGGCGATCACCATACCTTGTGCTTTAATAAGTTGTTAATATTGAGGGTCATGGAGATTCGAACACACGACCATTTGGCCAAACCAAACTCTTATAGCATATTATAAACCAATTGGTCCTAATAACTCGAGCTGTTGTGAGAAGATTATGTTGGGTCTTATATCATTCTCTTACCATTACAATTCACTCCTTACCATTGCAATTCATTCTCTTGCAATTCACTCCTTACCATTGCAATTGTTATTTTCTACAGTTGTAAAACTGTAACATAGACTGCTACATGGTTAACCTACTCTCCAGAGGATAAACATAATTACAAGTTGCTATTAGCTAGACGGAACTACACGTATCTCCGACTCCAAATGGCATCCATCCAGCTCGAATGTGTAACAATGAAATTTACTTATTAATGGGTTGGTACAATCCACCAACTCTGCTACACATTTTCGTATGTAAAACGTATGGACCATATCAGTACACGATTATTCTCCTCTTTTCCTTCTTTGGGTTGCAAAAGATGGAGAAATTTGATTGGTTTGGGCAACTCGTTCAGACTGGCAGCAGCAGCTTATCTCTTATCTACAAGCCACTTTTTTCCTACTTTGTGATATAGCAGCATCTACGCCCCCCCCTTTTTCTCCTTGTCTGGCCTGCCGATCCATCGTGCTGATTGGGAAAGCTTTTGACAATGATGTGTACTTGCATGTCAATGGTACCTTCATCCGGAATATATTGTACCTAAGTTCAGTGTATATCGTGCCATATCAGCCACTGAACTCGTTTTGAAAAGCATTTTTCGATTTATGGTAATTTCTGAGCGAGGCATAGGCAGATGTCTCGCCCTCTTTGTTCAAAGTGATACATCTGATCCGCGTTCAGTTAGTGGTCGGGTCAAGACAACTAACAGTGCATCAATTCACATTCGATCTCTTCCAAACCAAACCAAATCAATTATCCATATTAACCAAACTAAATTATCCAAATACCACGGTAACCTTTCCGTTTGAACACCCCTAATTGCTGGTGGGAAATAAGTAGGGGTGTGCAAGGTTCGGTCCGTACCGGACCACACAGGACCAAACCGTTGTTAAGACCGGACCGGACCAGACCGAGTAAAATGCGGTCCGGTCCTTGGTCCTCATGAATTTTATAATTACTGAAGAAATGGTGGACCGAGCTCATATTTGGACCAGACCGAATCGGACCAAATGGACCAAATGCAAGAATGGTCCGGTCCTTGGTCCTAACATGTCTTTCACTAATGGACCGCGATTCTCATGAGTTGGTCTGGTCCGGACCGAACCGAACCGTTGTACACCCCTAGAAATAAGAGTAAGTGAGAAGAAGCCTTATTATGATTTGGTGTAAGTGTGAATTTTATCTCATAGTGTTATAAATAAATTTTATGAAAATAAAATTACTAAAAATGCATTGTAGTGCAACAATAAAATATTCATGTTCATTAAGAGGTGTAGAGTTCATTCTCCTATATATACTTATATATGGAGTTAAAGAACTACGGATCTAGGCGTGTCCGTATAGAATTTTGGTTATCTGGATTTAGGGAAATTGGTGAATGGAATTAGGATTGAGAATGAGAATTTAGGAAGGAGATCTGGTGAATGGAATTTGGATTGAGAATGCGAATTTAGGAAGGAGATTTGGTGGATGGAGTTTGGATTTGGGAGCCTAGGGTCCAACTCCGAATCACAAATGTGGATGTGAGATTTAAGACATAAGGTAAAATATTTGATGCATCCCTATAACTTCTTTTTATTCTATAGTGATTAATATGGATATCTCGTATCAGAAAACATACAATTGTCAATAATCCATATCCAAATAACTCAAATTTCTCCCATGAACTAATGCCCTTGACCTTTCTTGCTAATGTAATCTATTATGCTATTTTAAATTCCATTTATATGTAGTTTTTCACAAAAACACGTTTTAGTTGAAGTTCCAGTGTTAAGTGTGTTTTGCTATAATTATTGTTGATATGGAGGAGTATATTTTTTCTCCCTTCGTTTGTTATTATGGCGTTATCTTCTGAGTATTATTCTATGATAACTTTTTCAATTGGGTTATTTTTTTCCGGTAATTGGGTTAATTTTTTGTACTGTTATATTAGTTAGGTTAAAGTTTTCTAATTACTTCATTGTTAAATGTTGTGTTTTATTGGTAAAGGATTGTTATAAAAAAAAAAGTATATACGGGTAGTATAGTAGTTTACATGAAAAACTTATAAATTCACAATAAAAATTCTATCAACATAAATCTATCAAACAAACATAAAACTTTCCATATCCATAATCAACCAAATCTATCACAAATCCAAGATTTTTCAAAACCTAGATTTTGACCAAAACTTAATCCCTCCAAATCCATAAAGTAAACGATCCCTCCATCATAAATCTAGAATTTTTTAAAATCCAAATGCTCTCATGTTTCGAATCCATAAAGCAAGCCACCTGTGTGCGCTTTATTTATACACCAGTTTATTCCTCACCGAATCTGAATTAGAAATTAGAATTCAACTATCTCCTCCTGGAGCCGAAATCCCTCCAATAGCAGGAGAAAGCAATGATTTGATATTGATGCAGGTTCTTGGCCATAATGTGCAAGATAATGGAAGGATGTGTTGTGTACAATGTAGTGGATTTTAAAGTACATCAGCCACTGAATTAGCCGCCATATAATATAATAATATTACACATAACAATATGGCATAAGCGTGAAACACAAGCATTTTACTATTACAGTAAAGATTGAAAGTATTGCTCATCGACTCGTCTTTCAGCAAGATTTGTCATCTGAATTGAGTATTAAATCAATCATACAAAGAACCAAGTACGTACACAGAAAGGAATAAAAGATTCTACTCCCCCATATAACATGAGATGAAGCAAATTGGCCACCGCTCCATTCGAGTCATCTAAAATCAAAACATAAATAAAAACTATATAATATTTAACGTGGTTCGAATTTTAAGAAAACTTCATATCTAGAATAGTCGTTATTTAAAATGAAAGGACTTGAAATACCAAAAAAAAATTATAATATAATGTTAGAACTAAACTCGAGTTGTGAGCGAGGATGAATTGTTAATCTACCATCTCACAACATTTTAATATATTTTTATCGATGCATATTTTATCATCTAAAATCAACTATTGGGAAGGAGTACATAATCTCATTCTCAACTGAATTACACCCGTTATACCACTGATCAAACAAGAAAATAATTCTTTTGTATCAAGTTGCATGTATAGAATTATTAAACCGGCACAACTCCATCTTTATCACTCATAAATCAACAACCAATATCACCCTTGTTCATTTTCTTTGGATAATAAATAGAGTAAATACAATTTAATAGCCAAATCTTTCGTTTTAAACAAAATAATAGTCAAACCTTTCGAAAAATAAAATAATAGCCAATCTGTTAACTTTTCATCCGATTGACCGTCAGTTGACCCTGATGTGGCATTTAATTGCAGAGTTGGATGTTGATTAGTGACGTGGCAAAAAAACCATTTTACTGTGACACATGGATATTTATTAAATTATTTTGACAAAACAAATAAACAAAAGTAACCTCCAGCATCTCGTCGCTATCTCCACTTCCCTCAAATCCAATCGCCAAGTCCATTCTTCTTGTTCGATCATCTTCCCCAATCCCTAAACAGCTAAACCTCAATTCGCTATCTCCTCTTTCTAGCTCGATCTGATCGTCGCACGATCTTTCTAATCTGCCGACTTCTATCCTTGGCTTTGAAAAGGACCTCTCCTTCATAGCGAGCTCCTCCTTTCTCCTCGCCGTCAAATCTTCAATGGCCCTTTCCCAAAACGCAACCAACGGCACTGCACCGTCACTGCCTCCTGGGGAAATTGGGGTTCGTACATCGGCTTTTAACTAAGACGGCGACAGGGTCAGAGGCGATGGAGATCAAGCGGTGAGGTTTCTCTTGGATGATTGAGGTGGGATTTCAATCCCCTGCACCAACGCCCACCTCCATTTTCCCTCTCTCTTCACTCATATTCCAATGCTGCTCAGTGAAGCCGCCTACTGGCTTTGTGAGGTGTCGATGCCCTCTCGTCCAGTCTTGGAAATTTGGGAATCGAATCTAGGGGGATTGATTTCGAACTCGTCGTCTTCTTCTGGAGAAGCTTCTTCTCATGGTGTCTGAATTCCCTGACTATGGGTGCAGACACTAGATCATGTGACATCTCCCCCTGTCCCAATTTCTCTCTTTCTTCTTCGAGCCATCAGGGGAATTTGAATCGTCACCGCCTCCTTAACCCATCTCCGCCTTCCTCGAACATCATCTATCATCTCGTCATCTGGGAAATAAAATCCCATCGTCGCCGACCTCGCCACGGCTGTCGGTGGTACGAAAAGGGGAGAATCAAGCGAGGGACAAAGCTTGGACGAGCAGGGGACCAAGCCCCGCAACACGCGCGACCCCGATGTGGATCTTCGAGAAGAAGCCTATTCCGTCGCCTTCTCTGGTCAAGCCAGATCTGGGAGAATCGCCGCTTTGCCCCAGGGATTTCATACTCGGCGACAGAAAGAAACTCTAGGATAGTCGTCGCCCGAATCTAATGGAGATTGGAGTAATGGATAGGTGCGGGGAGTCGGATGGAGGAATAGGGGATCTTGAAGAGAGAGGGTTTGGTTGTTATTTTATTTTGTTAAATTAATTATTATATGAATTAATAAATATCCACATGGCATAGTCAAATGGTTGGCTCTTTGCCACATCACCCTAAAACTGCCACATCAGAGTCAGCTGATGGTCAATCGGAAAGTTAACAGTTTAGTTAATAGTTACTATTTTGTTTTTTAATAGATTTGACTATTATTTTGCTTAAAAGAAAATATGTGACTATTATATTTTATTTACCCTAAAAAATATTGGTTTTGGATAATGGTGCAACAAAGTAACATGATTACCGATTGGATTGTCATTGCACGCCTAGCTTTTATGTTTTGTTTTCACATGATTAGATGATTTGCAATATTCCTCATCCTTTCTACACACACCAATCCCTTTTGTTTTCTAGGTTCTGGTGGGGATTTACTATTTGCCATTACCTTTTTCTGTTGTAAATGCCTCTCTCTTAGAACACTGTTTTATCTTTATTCGAATGATTGCATCCTCTCTTGTTCCTCCATCTGTCAAGGCGTGCCCCGGCCCCCTCTCCACATTCATTCTTCACCATCCTTCTCCCCTCAGTTCCCCCCACCAATAGAAGTCAATAAAACTGCCATTTCGTTACAAGATTGGGGCAACGAAATAGTAAATTCCCATTACTGGAGAGGTTTTGTATTATAATTTACAAAATCACTATTATTAATATTAGTGCTGTGAAGACCGAATCGCAATGTTCCGTATTCGAGTTGTTGGGAGAAAGTTAATTATAGATCTTATACATTATTTTACATGCTTCCTCAAATGAAAGTCCACTCGTGAGCTTGAAGTTTGCATAGATCTATCATACCATGTGCTTAAGTCAACTGTTAGTATTGTAGGTCTTAGAGTTTCAAACACACGACCACTTGTTTAAACCAGCTCCGTTACCGTGTCATAAACCAGTTGGTCCCAATAACTCAGGTAGTTGGGACCAACTGAATTATGACATGGTATTATAGTCTTCTGTTATCGAGAGGTGTTTGGTTCAAATCCTGGTAACCTCCACTAGTAAGTTAGCGCATGGTGTCTGTGCAAATTTTAAGCATATATGAATGACTTTGAGGGAATATATTAGTGAGTGGTATATAATGTATGATTTAAAGTCTAAACTGGAAACTGAACCTCAATAAAGTTGCATCCGTATATTTAACCGATGGGAGTTGCTGGCTTTTTTTTCTTCTTCTTATTAACTTCTCATGAAGGGACAATTCCATTATCCATTAGCAATGGCCCCTCGATCGTTATCCTGTTTTACAATATGTAATGTCACCACTAGTACTCCACTTACCTTTAAGATACCTTTTAGATTTCATCATTACTGCTTTTACCCACAATATGGGAGAGCTGTGATGATAGAATAGAACAAAACCCTACCTGTGGCGGGCCTTAACCTCCATTATTAACTTAATTGTCTGATGCGTAGATACTGAGGGTCTTGACTTGGGCACAGTTTAGCTTTCATGATAAAAAGCAGTTCAACTGGACCTGGCAATCGGGTTGGGTGATTTTGGGTTGGGGACTTTTGTTACGGGTCGAGTCATATTTGGTTGACTGATTTCGAATCCAATATTGACCCAACTCACTCGGTTTCGGGTCGGGTCACTACAAGAAAAACTGCCTTCCGTGACCACTATAATTTGTCGCTGAAAGTGCAAAATTGGTTGCAGATACTTTTCTACGACCAAATAATTTTGGTAGCAGAAATGGTCGCTATAGGCGCGTTACCAATTCCTATGGTGACCAAAAAGGAGATTGGTAGCGGATAGAATGGCTATTGCAACCAATATTATCAATGGTAAAAATCTGGAATATATAGTTACCAACTTTTTTTGGTTGTAATAGTTCCGACTACAACCAATTTATTTGGTTACAAATTTTACTTTTAGTTACCAATTTTATTTTTAGTTACCAATCCTTTTGGTAGTGAACGTATATACACAACGAACAATTATGGTCATGAAAGATACATACGCCGACCAATTAAATCATTAAAGACGACCATTTTCATGGTTATGAAAGTTTAACACAACCATAAAATTTGGTCGTAAAAAACATATATGTCAACCAATTTTGTCATATTAAAGAGTTTAAGGCAACTATAGAATTTGGTCATGAAATGTACATACACCAACCAATAAAAACCGTTAAAATGACTAATATTTTTGGTTGCCAACATTTATCACAACCACCAAATTTGGTCTTAAAGTTCATATCCTAACCAATTAATTAATTATTTTATACGCCCAGTATTGTTTCGATGCTCAATGGTATTGAAAATGTGTCCTGTTCAAACTTGAGCTAATTAATAGATAAAAACGGTAGAAACTATTATTCCATACAAATATAATTTTGCATCTCATATATATAACATAGAGTGAGGATTAGCAGTAACAGAACATCTCAAAAAGAACAATCTCTAAGTGTCTAATTTCACATAGATATTAGATACCTTCATAACCCAATCCATAATTCTACAACTGTTCACTTCTTCTTCTTCTTGTTAACCTTCCAGCTTTCAGCTCACTTCTTCCACATTGGATTCCCAGATTCATCATTCACTTCTGCAGCATTTCAAAGTATAAAATATAAAAGTAATTAGGTGACAGTTCATTAACAAAGATTGAAAATAGGAAAATAAGAGAAATAGTAACGATGTGCTAGCATGAGTCCTAACTTCCCGATCCTGACTACAAAAAAGACACAGTAATCTTGTCTCATTTTCAATGACTTCAATTCAAGTCCCAACTTTAAAGAGCATCAGCAACTTAGAATAAGAACATAGAACAAATTGATACCTTTATCTGGTGCCATAAAATAAAATAAAAAGATTCCCCTGCAACAACGAGGGAAGTAAATGGTATAACAGGGGAGGGAGGAAAAGGGTAACTAAAACTTAACTAACTGAGGGAGTTCAGCGAAATCAAAATCAAAATCAGGTTGAACTGTAGCTAATGAAGCTCAGGGTGCAGTGTGATGGTAAGTAAAATTGCAGAAGGCATTGCAGGTTCACTTTGAAACCTCTTCGCTGCAACATGGACAACGAAATAGCTATATTCCATCATCCTAGGAGTCGAAGAATTCGCATAACTAGCTTTATGAGAGCAAAATGCCAAAATCAAAACACTTGAACTAATAAAGTTTATCTATGGTATCATGAGATTCTCTAAATCTACTTCCGAGAACATTCCAACTAATTGAAGTAATCTAGACACAACGTTCTATCATCAATTACCATCATCAAATTTAAACCAAATTCTACACGAAGACTAAACAGAACTGGCATGCATAAAGTAGCTTCAGTAATCAATGCAGTCAAAATCTAGATTTTAAGTAAAATCGAAAACTGAGGTAGAATCGAAATCGTAGATTAAAATCGTAAAATCGTAAGATTTTAAGTTTCATATTAAAATAAATACTTAAAACACTAGATAGTAATAAAAATGCATATCTTGAATAACAATCAACCACATAAAGCATAATTACTTCCCAAGATAAGTTTGTTTGCTAAACAAACACAACTAATCCATATATTTTTCTTGTACATAATGGAAACACACAAATAAGAAACCTGAAACATTATAGATATCACTGTTAATTAATTGTTAAGAGTAGAAAATCACATAAGATCGTTAGGATCAACATTAACATCACTTACACATCATCGTCATCATCCTCAACCTCACCCTCACTCTCATCGTTTTTATTTGTTTAAGGACTAATCTCATTACTCTTATGATCACTTGAAGTACTTTCACCATTAACCATATTTCCTTGATTACCATCATCTGGAAAAGATAACTCATTGATTGATGCATTCCCTTCTTAATTGATAAAAGGTCGGGTTAGTGGTGCTGAAGGATTGGGAGATGAACAAAAGCTTGCAATGTAATGGAGATTTGGATTATTGTGAGGGTGGTGGGAACAAACTACAAGCTAATTGGGAGGGTGGAAGATATCGTTGATGGAAGGAGTTGGGCGCCGACGTGCGAAAGAGGAAGATACGAGGAAGAGAATGAAAATAAATTGAGGGTCAACTATCAGGTTGGGGTTGTGTTGTTCATTATGTTGGGTTGGGGAAAGTAAATTTGACTCGGTTCATAGGCATAACCCAACTTGACCGGCCTAATTTTGACCCAATTGATATGTACCTTGAAATCGTACAAAATCGTAGAAATCGTAGATTTTATGGATTTTAGAGTTTTAAATCGGGATTTTAAGGTTCAAAGATTTTACAGTAAAATCAAGATCGGAACCCATAGGTAAGATCGTAAGATTTTAAGATTAAAATCGGGATTTTGACTACATTGTCAGTAATCAATACCACCCCAATAAGAAAACGAATGAAAATCAAGTAAAAACAAAGGACACCAATTGTAGACACGGTAGTTTAGCATTCTGCATATATCAACAAAGCAGGGGAACTATGAACGAAACATTACCAACGATAGTGGTTACGTGCACGAATCTATTTACTATGGCAGTATAGTAGTGTCACAGAAATCATCCCATGAAACCAATCAAATCAATTTAGGTCTTAGTAGGTAAAGTAGTGGCAGACCTGTATGGAGTGTGCTCATGAGTTCAGCTATCCTGATAAGAAGAAAAATTAAACCAAAGAAAAAGACAATAATACAATTAGATCAGGCGAGAACAAAAGCAGAAAAGCTAACAATGTATATACTGGAAACAAAATTGACAGTGAGAATTTCCAATCTCTTGGACGAATTAAACATGAATTTATTTATCATGCACGACTTAGAAACAGAGAAAATATTATGTGAATTTTGTACATTACTACCTTAGTAACTTAGTAATATATGCTTTAATCATCTATGACCTACCCATGGTCAAGAAAATGGCAGAAGCTGCAACAACTGATGGAGGGTAGCAAAGCATGTTGTACTCCAGCAGAGATAGTTCACTGATGTAATTTACTAAGAAGCATTCGAACTGCATCGATGGGACCTCATCGATTACTTGAGCAGCTCTCACAAATCGTCTTCATAACAAGGGCCATGCAACGATAACAAGAAGTCAGCACACAGAAGCCAAGAAAAAGCAGAACTGCAGTAGGCAGTGCAATGGATGGATGCAAGTTACCAGTAAAGGAATGTCACTCAACAAGAAACCTGGAAATTTGTTACTTATACAGTAATCATCATGGAGGCAACACCAAGCAATTGCAAACTTTGCTTGTTCATCACATTGCCGGAGAGATATCGATCAATGTATTTAACGGACAGATACAAGGTATCTAGTACAAGTCTACTTTTCTGCAACCTCCACGAACCAATCTATCTTTATAGCACATATACTGGCATTTATATCCTTCTGAGTTTTTTTTCCATGAAATCTGTTGCTAGTCATTTCTTAACCTGCAGCCACAAAAACGATAAGTACCGTAACAATGTTACAGGTTAAACCCACTACAAAGTCCACAACAAGTTACAGTTTAATTCATATACATATTAGGGACTCGAACAAACCTCACAAGCTCGCAAGTTCTTGTAAATATCAGAAGCAATAATTGCACAAAGCTGAGGATCCTCAAAATTGGTATCCAGGTTTATAACCTTGTCATCTGTATCCATATCAATGACACTGAATCCATCTCTGACACACTGCAAGCACTCCAATTCAAAACTCAATTTAGAAGAGCCATGTATAGCATCAACGTGGTTGATCATCTTCAGCAACCCAGAAAAAGACAGATGACTGGACAAATTGAGGTTTTGTCAAAGTAATTCACCTGCTGCTAGTTCATTATCAGTAATATAGAGCTTGTTCAATGCCTTCTTGTTGATAGAATCAATCACATGCAAGTCATTATTGTTCACGTACTCAATATCACGGCTTTTGAAGGAATCACAAGAAGTTTCATCTCATTTAGTTGGAGCCACATTCATCTCACAGCAAGCAGGAGGCTTGAAAATGCTTGAGTCAACTTCATGGCTTCTTCGTGCAGATGTGACCTCAATCTTAGTCGGTTTCACCACTGCCATAATTGAAAGCTCCAAGTATCAATAATCATGTTCACCTAGTGCTGCAATCAACAACTAACACCAAAGACTGGCCAACTAGAGCAAAGAACGAAGAAGTTAGATTTTAGAAAACTCAAAATCCCTAACCTGACTTCTACGGTGCCTGCTGAAGCACTCAAACGACCTCCTCGAACTTATTTTCCATTAAACCTTTGTTATGCAGAAAAACCACAACAAAAAGTCACACCAAAGCATCACAACAAAGTAAGAATTAGAACATTAACCTCAACAGATAACTATCAGTTCTTACTTGATGCAAAGACTAATTCACCTGCGGAGAAGGAATTTGCCAGAGTTGGAGGCGGGATTATTCGCGATCAATTCCCCTACGACAAGAGCTTCCAGAACCCTAGCTCAGCAAAGAGAAATCAGAGAGACAAAGGAGAAGGCATCACAGTTCCGAGGCGGCGACCGTGCTCGCGATCAAAATCACATCGGCGCTGGTGAGGGATTGCTCTCCATGGCTAGGGATTGGAGCGACACTCGTGCTCCAGCGTATTCGGCTTGCATGTTCTCTCGACGATGCCAGGGACGACTCGAGCTATAGGCCGTCTTTCGTGATCTCGAAATGACGCCAGGGATGACCCCTGGTGCTCCTTCGCCTCCATGACTTTCTCAATGACGGCGGTGACGAGAGTGCCAATCCTGTCATCGGGGATCAAGATGACGGCGCCTGGAGCTATCTTTGGGAAACTGGAATTGCCGGATCTCAACGAAGCAAATAAGGAATGTAAATTAAGAGGAGACGAGAGAAGATGAGAAATTGGAGTTAGAATCGGAATTGAGAAGAGGAGGAGACTGAAGAAGAAAATTCCGGTTTAGCGGAAGAAGGAAGGAGATAGAGGAGAAAAAAACTGAATTGCTATTTGTTTAAGGGGTCGTTTGGAAGTTGCGAATGTTAAATCGTTGCATTGTAATGAATCACCATAATATAAATGCATGTATTGATACAATTGATGCATTTTAACAATACATTGTTTGGTTGTTGAGATTCTAATGTATGCATTGATTTACATAAAGTTACATTTATGGGGAAATGCCATATTTAGCCTCAACTTTTAGAATAAGACAAGAACTATTGGGGATATAAATGGAAAGAAAAAGTTGACACAAATCTAAAACCAACAATCTCAACTTTTAGTTGAGATTGTATAATGCATCATTTTTTGGGATTGTTGGTGGGACCTACCTAAAATAATGCATGCATTGTTTAACACTTTGACACTTCCAAACATTGTATTGTACACAATACATGTATTCAACTAACACAACTCTAACAATCACAACTTCCAAACGACCCCTAAATTATTTCGCCCTAAATCATACTATATTGACAATTATATCCTTGTACCCAAATTCAATACGTAATCCCTAACTTGAACCACTGCTGCCGTTCCCCCAACCCGCCGCCACTCCTCGTACGACCACCGCTGTCGTTCTCCCAATCCGCCGCCGCTCCCATTCCCCCACCTCACCGTCCTCCTATCATTACTGAGAAAGAATCCCACCAGCCCGTCGCCGGAGAGCTCGTAGGTAGTCGCAGACCATTTTCTGCTTCTGCATTGCATTTTCAGATAAGGATTCCCACTACTAATTACCATCCGAAGCCTGCTTCCTCAGTTGATTCCGTATGGAAACCAGAATCACTAATGAAATTAAAGCATATATAATTGTGTATGAAGAATGGCCAGTATGCTTTATTATGCATTAATTTTCGTGTTTATCTTTGGGCAATTAACTCTCTTCCTGTCATGATATGGACTAAGGATATTTAAGTCATTTTAACGAATGTTAGGGCGACAAATAAAGAGTTTTAGGACGACGAATAGCAATCCCCGAAAAAAAGCGTAAAGACTAAAGATGGATTCTTATGCATAACTACTACTACAGCCACTAAGTTTCAGTAATAGTTACATACAGTACCGACATTTTTATACAACGGCAACACAATGATAACCAAATAATTTAGTTGTTTAATTTTCTTATTGGATTTGCAACCAAATTATTTAGTTATCTAAAATTTTGAAAATTCTTTATTCAAAGTCATAACCAATTATATTTGGTTGGATAAAAGTAAAAATTATTATATTACCAAATTTTTTGGTTGGAAATGCTAAAAATAATTATGCTACCAAAATTATTTGGTTGGAAAAAAGTATAAATCCTTTTGCTACTAAATAATTTGGTTGGAAAAAAGTATAAATTCTTTTGCTACCAAATTATTTGGTCTCTTCTAGTTTTATTTGGTTATCGATACTTTGGTTTTAATAAGCAACCAAATTGTTAATATTTTGGCTACCAAAATTTAATTGGTTGTAAATACTAACCTTTTCTCAACCAAATTTAGTTTGGTTGTAAAACTTTTGGTTGCGAAACCTACTTTTTGTTGTAGTGGGTTACAGGTCATTTCGGGTTATGAGCGTTCTTAGAAACAATATCAAACATGCTTCATATTTTCTTAAAGAACACAAATTTTCAGATATGCATGACAATAGTTTACCTAACACATGTCAATTAACATATTCTCAAATCCTCCC